ACTGCCGAACCTAATTATTCGAGTCGACCCGAATTGCTATTAGGTTCGGCACATGTAAAGTTCGACGTTTGAACCGGGCCTAAGGCCCTCAGTGTTGCTGATTCTGTAGAAGAGAAAATCAATCACAACATAGACATCATCATAGGAAATGACCACTAAGCCCAATTCATACCAGGAAACCAAGAAATCAAGAGATGAATGTTTGATGGCTATAAATTTGGATGGCTCCTTTCAGGACCAACACCCAACATAATAACAGATAAAATGTTCAGCACAGTGTGTCAAATTGTAACAGGACCATCAACAGACAACAATCTAAACGAAATACTCAAGAAGTTCTAGGAAGTAAGTAAAGTTCCTGAAGAATTAGATGAAAACAACACAACTGATACCCAGAAACACTTTCAAGATACCATCATATTCAATCAAGACACAAGCAGATACAATGTAAGACTCCCATGGAGGGATGTCAAGCAAAACCTACCCACAAATTTTACAGTGGCAAAAAAGCGTTTAAACAACCTTCTACATGCTCTACAGAAAAAAGATCCAGAACTCATCAACAAATACAATATATACCCATTATACATCCAGAGCGACAAAAAAGAAGTTGTCAAAGTATACATTTGCCTCTTTACCTGCACAGCACTACAAGCGATACATCTTGAGATAGTAGAAGATCAAACTGCAAGCTTGTTTGTGAGGGCCTTCAGGCAATTTGTATGCAAAAGAGGAATTCCAGAATACATCATATCAGACAATGCCAAGACATTCAAAAAAGGTTCCCAAGAGCTCAATACCCCCAAAAAACAAATAATAAACACAACAGAACCCCAAAGGTTTCTTGCTTACCACCAGAGAAAGTGGAAGTTCATTACAGAATGAGCTCCCTGGTGGTGTGGCTGTTATGAAAAATTGATTGGATTAGTCAAATGAAGACTAAAAAAAGCTATCAGAAACACTTCTCTGAATTTTATAGAATTAAAAACCAAACTAACTGAGGTTGAGGCTACACTCAACAGTCCCCCACTCACTTTTACGTATACAGATATTAATGATGGTCCACCCCTTACTCCATCTCCTTTCCTATGCAGACTTTTATGCATGTCTTCTAACTTTGCCAGATATAGCCAATGATTCAGATGATTCAGAGCACATACCACAAGCATCAAAAAAATGATTTATCAAGACGAGTGAAATACCATCAAAAGATGATACAGAATTTCTGGGAACAGTGGCAAAAGGAACACTTAACCAGTGCCCAAGGACAACACTCATCACTAAGAAACAAACATTTCTCAGAGGCTGTGGGAAAAATTTCTTAAGTTTTTCATAAGGCCCATTTGTACTTCATTGCTGGTAAGCTTCGCTTGTTCATTTGTCAATCACAGGGACACGCAAAGTCAAATGAATCTCAACACAAGCACAAGACACAAGCGGAGGACTTGATGACAAACTTTGAAGATACTGATAATAATGGTGACCAGACAAATGAGCACTGTTGCTAAAATTAAATGATGCCATTTAGGCAAAGAAGTTTGCGGCTTTTCTGATCCTCACAAGACTTTGCTATTCCTCAGAATGTTATTGTTGCTGATAGCAAGTTATTGTTGTTGTTAACCACAAGTTATTCTTGCGATCAAAGAGGACAAAGAAATTAAGACAATGAAGGTAAAGAATTAAATATAATTTGTCATCCTCACTGTTGCTCTTGCTATAATTTAATAATGCCACCTAAGGCAAAGAAATATGAGGGTTTTCTTATCCTCACAACACTTCTCTATTCTTGAGAATATTATTGTTGTGGATAGCAAGTTATTGTTGTTGTTGTTAATCACAAGTTATTCTTGCAGTCAAAGAGGATAAAGAAATTAAGACAATGAAGGTAAAGAACTAAATATAAATTTGTCATCCTCACTGTTGCTCTTGCTATAATCTAATAATGCCACTTAAGGCAAAGAAGTGATCGTCACAACACTTCTCAAAATGTTGTTGATCACAACTTGTTGTTGTTTTGATCACAAGTTGTTCTAGCAATCAAAGAGGGCAAAAACTATGTATTTGAAGATATAGAACTAAATATACTTTGTCATCCTTACTTTTCCTGTTATAATAATGTAGTAATGCCACTTAAGGCAAAGAAGTATGCAGGTGATCTAACCCACCCAAGACTTCACAATTCCTGAGAATGTTATTGTTGTTCATCACATGTTGTTCATCACATGTTGTTCACATCCATGACAATGAAGTTGCTATCAAAATTAACATTAAAAGAGGTAATTGAACTCCACAATCACAAGAGAAATACTTCAGAGAAAACTCAATACATGCATTAGTTTTTGAGTTAATACTGTGGACTTTGAGGGGAATTATGGATCACAGTAACAGTTGTTACTATACAACTAAGGTGGCATATTGTACAGTTGTACAGGTTTTCCGACCTATGATCACTTTAAGCTATCTTTTGAACTTGTTACACCAACAGCAGAAGCAAAGGTTGATGTGTATGCTTCAGGAATACGTACAAATAGGCCAGGAGTACACAAGATGCAACTGATAGATGAGCTTTTTTTACTTTTTGTTTGATGGAAGCTTGGTTTATTTGAACTGGAACTTGCCTAGCCTTTTGGTTTACATGTTTCTAGCACTACTTTAAAATGTTAATTAGGATTGCTCCTCATGGGGCCATCACATTTATTTCCAGTCTTTACACCAGTTTGATATCAGATAAAGAAATAACTCGTTGTTCTGGCATTTTGGATTTTCTGGAGGCACATGACAGTGTTATGGCAGATAAAGGGTTTGATATTGAAGATCCTTTAAGGAGTAAACAAGTTTCTTTGAATTTGCCTCCCTTTCTTCAGAGTCAAACTCGATTTTCAGCCCAGGATGTTTTGCAAGTACACAGACATTAAGATTTTGTAATGATTTATCATCAAGGTTAAAAGTGCGAAGATTTAACAAACAGTATGAACTCACCTTTGAGATGCCACAAGTTTTGATGTTGTAGATGGAGCACTTCCATCTTTGGGGATTTTTTTGGATATGAAAGATAACAAATTATCTGAAAAGTTTACGTGATGCTTGGTGTTCCATCAAAAAGAAGACCAGAGAGCCATTGCGGAAGAAGAGCTGTATTTAATTTAATACCACAATTCAATTTAAAATACAAAGAAACCACGTTGGCACTTAACCTTACAAGCATTCAAAACAAACAGAAAATTAACTGTAATAACCTGGAAATGAACAGGAAACCTACTTCTTGACTGCCTCTGTACTTGTGACAAATAACTGGTTAGCAATCTAAAATAACTGGTTAGCTTGGTTGAAATTGAACTGAGCAACTGAACAACTAAATCATGTCTTAAATGACACGTTTTAGGTGTCTTAAATGACACGTTTTAGATGACAAACATTGCAAAAATTAAAAGGCATGTTAACACAAACAGCGTGTGGGTAAAATTTAACAATTAATTATAATAAAGTGAATGTTCAGTGAAACGCACTCCTCCAAAATGAGGACGTTTTTCTCATCTTTATTTGTAACCTTGCACTGGGTGAAGCACCACAATCTTTGTAACCGGACTGGGATACACTCAAATATTGGTCTTCACTCTGATGTTTCGAACTTGACCATCTTGTCCTGCGTAAACATTGATGATCTTACAGATTTTCCAGTTTCCACGGGTTGCATTTAGATTTTGGACTACCACAAAGTCGTTTACTTAAACATTTTATTTCTTTGGGAATTAATGACAGAAACACATCCCTTATCCACCACTTCCACTTAGTTTTTTAGAAAGGGCCTTATGGCATTTATGGCATACAAGATGATGCTCGCCCAAGGAGCACGTCATTTAGAGAAAGGTATGATCCACCATCAGGGTCATTTGGAATACAGCCAATTGGACATTGATTCATGAGGTTGGCCACTTCTTACAGGCACTTGTGGAATTCAAATTGCATCAACACTTTCTCCCCAATAGCTTTTTTTTTAAGGGTTAATAGACTCTTTGCAGGACTTAATTACGTGTTTGGATGCCACAAAGCAATGCATCACTGGTGAGCAAGCAAACAAGTGTCACAAACTTTGACTTTTTAGTCGAAAACATGCCAAACATTTGTTGTTTAAGGACGCAAACAAGATTTTTTTTCTTTTGTTTCATCAAGCTCTAATTTTGTCTGATTTACCTTTGCATTTCCTGAACTTACATTTTCTGAGGTTGAAGAGTATGCCAAACAAAAAGAATCTGGTCGCAGGCACACAACCAAAGGCTATAAGTTTTTGCTGAGCCTGGATATTTACACTATGTGAAAGACGAGTTTTCTTACAGTAAGAAAATCAATTCCAAATGCTGAGATGGGATTTGAAAATGATGTGTCTATATGTCTCCAGCAAGACAAGCTTACTTCATTGGATGTGTTGGGTCTCTTCAGACAAACCACCATTGAAGTGGAGGAAAAAACAAGGGCACAAAGTCAGAGTAGTCTTTGGACGATGTTGAGGAACAAAAGGATCACAGCTAGTAAATTTGGACAGGTTGCAAAAAGATAGAGCAACTTTGACAATCTAGTTGGGGAAATTAACTCAGCAAGACATGTGGTTTCAGCACCTGTGCAGAGAGGCTTAGATTTGGAACCCCAGGCTGCAATTATATATGCCAGCATAGCCAAGCAAAACCAAGTTAATCTCTTCCCATCAGGGCTGGTAATGAATCCATGGTTGGGATGCACCCCTGACCCGCAAAGTGTCTGATTTGAATGTTGAGGAGCAAGGCCTTTCTCCTTTTGGCCTTTTGGAGAAAAAGGTTGTTAAAGAAGGTGCTACTGATTTTCAGAATGTGGCCTATCTTACAATTCAAATGTCCTCAAGCTTAAACGAAATCATTACTGT